AGGTTTGGAACGACATGGGGGTAAGTGATTAATGACAAAATTTTCATTTTGGGGTGGAGTATCCCTTTAAGTCTCAGTCAGCTGTTAACCCAGTAGCCGCTCAGACAATTTACTGACGAAGTAAGTCTGATTCAAACTACTAAATCACAAGTGATTTTGAGGCCGTTTCACAAATCCTAAAAAGTACCACTTTATAAGAGTCATTTGTTCACAAATCGGCCAATTTTCAATGGTTGTCGACAACTGCAGTCTGGAGCGCTGTGATATCTGATGTGCCTTACCCGACGTGTGTCCCTGTCTCCCATGTGACTGCTGTGAAAGCTCTATCGTTCCATCGATCTGAAACATTTTCAAGTCCTCTTCATCCAAGGCAATATCTCCCCAAAATACAGCTGGAAAAAGAAACAGAGAAGGATATTATTAGAGGACACAAACACACACTCTTTGGCAGCACCATAGATTGATGGTCTATGTGCTGGCAGACACGTCTGAAACTCAGATCAGCGTGGCCTGAGCTATTGACTGATGCTAATTTAAGGTTTGCTGCATATGCGATCGATTGACAAGTTAACATGAGAGGAAACATCTTAGGTTGTCAACTTGCCCTTTGCTCTCGCACCCTCAAATGCTGATTAAAAATTAATAAGCGGATGCCGGGGAACATGTATATACATCCTGTTGCAATCTGACCAATCCTGTTCACATAATGTCCGTATCGCACTTATCCTAACATTCCTAACGTTCAGCTACAGTCATGACATCATACATCCTTAAATTATCCTGTCGCCAAGGTCTTAGAGATGGCCATGAAAAAGGAGATAACTAAAAATAAATTGGGAACTACGCCATTTGTGTGTGCGAGTAGTTTTGGCAGGGAATTCACTCCTCAACCTTGATATAAAACAATAAACAATGAAGATTATGCTTTAAGCTATCTTGATTGTTAAGGTTTGCTGCATATGCGATCGATTGACAAGTTAACATGAGAGGAAACATCTTAGGTTGTCAACTTGCCCTTTGCTCTCGCACCCTCAAATGCTGATTAAAAATTAATAAGCGGATGCCGGGGAACATGTATATACATCCTGTTGCAATCTGACCAACCCTGTTCACATAATGTCCGTATCGCACTTGTCCTAACATTCCTAACGTTCAGCTACAGTCATGACATCATACATCCTTAAATTATCCTGTCGCCAAGGTCTTAGAGATGGCCATGAAAAAGGAGATAACTAAAAATAAATTGGGAACTACGCCATTTGTGTGTGCGAGTAGTTTTGGCAGGGAATTCACTCCTCAACCTTGATATAAAACAATAAACAATGAAGATTATGCTTTAAGCTATCTTGATTGTTCCATATTGGAATAAACTCTGCCCTTGTGCATGCATGTGTGTGCGAGTGTGCATATGCGTATGTACACGTAACAGTGAACTGCACCTTTAGGCCACCACTATTGTTTCTAATGCATTGTTTGTGTGTATGCGCACATGTGTATACAAGCATCCTTCCTTCCTCCATCAACAATGACAATGTTCAGACAATGTTCAGCTTTAATCCGTGATCGTGATCCGTATCACATTCATATAAAGCTGGAGTCTCCTCTGGATCACACCCTTCATAGAGGACTGATATTAGCGATGATCTAACCCCACTCCATTTATCAGTGGGACTCTGAAACAATCTAAAACTAAAAAAAAATAAGCATTAAAAATGTCACTTTCCCATCACAAAAAATATATTTTGTATTAATTTAAAATTTATAATTTTTATATTTAGATTACTTTGTTTAATTTAAAAATATATATATTGTACACTGTAAAAAATCCATAAAATTTCTGTTCACATAATGTCCGTATCGCACTTATCCTAACATTCCTAACGTTCAGCTACAGTCATGACATCATACATCCTTAAATTATCCTGTCGCCAAGGTCTTAGAGATGGCCATGAAAAAGGAGATAACTAAAAATAAATTGGGAACTCATTCATTTGTGTGTGCGAGTAGTTTTGGCAGGGAATTCACTCCTCAACCTTGATATAAAACAATAAACAATGAAGATTATGCTTTAAGCTATCTTGATTGTTCCATATTGGAATAAACTCTGCCCTTGTGCATGCATGTGTGTGCATATGCGTATGTACACGTAACAGTGAACTGCACCTTTAGACCACCACTATTGTTTCTAATGCATTGTTTGTGTGTATGCGCACATGTGTATACAAGCATCCTTCCTTCCTCCATCAACAATGACAATGTTCAGCTTTAATCCGTCTTTAAGATCCGTATCAAATTCATATAAAGCTGGAGTCTCCTCTGGATCACACCCTTCATAGAGGACTGATATTAGCGATGATCTAACCCCACTCCATTTATCAGTGGGACTCTGAAACAATCTAAAACTAAAAAAAAATAAGCATTAAAAATGTCACTTTCCCATCACAAAAAATATATTTTGTATTAATTTAAAATTTATAATTTTTATATTTAGATTACTTTGTTTAATTTAAAAATATATATATTGTACACTGTAAAAAATCCATAAAATTTACGTAAAAAAAAGGCAGCTGTGGTTGCCAGAATTTTACTGTAAAAAATATGGTAGCAACATTTTAGGTTTTACAGTTAACTTAAATTTACATTTAAATACATTTAATACAAATACATTTACATTTCATTAACTGATATAATGTTAATATACCAACCAATTGAAGTACTGAAATCTGTTTTCTACCTTTGTAATACACTGATAACTAGGGGTGCTCCGATTGATCGGCTACCGATCACTATCGGCCGATAATCGCTTTGGGATGATTGATCGGCGGTCTCTAAAAA